GCTCATAACGTTTTGTAGATAAAACTTAATGTGCAAGTCATATATGAGAAATTACCTTGGGACGAGACAGGAGCCCTAAACCAGGTCATATTGAGAAGCCTATAACCACCTACTAGTGCAGGGTTTAGACGGACACTATTCAATGAGGAGTTTATTCTAGTGACTTCATCTGAGGAGAAACTGACTCCCTTGTATGGTGTGATGTCCATTGAGATATTAAGTTTTGATAAATCAATAAGATAAAAGTTGATTAGCTCAATTTGAGATGTCTTCAAACCCAAATTGTTGGCGAATTCATCAAGAAAGAGAGTCCAGTTTTGGTTAGATGACACGTTCAGCAGGAGAAGATCAAGCTTTATTGGGTACACGCAGTGGCAATCCAGGCTTCCTCTTTTGAGGACCATGTCTGGTCCACAACAATCTGCAAAAGCAAAGAATGAAAACACTAGTTATGCACTTTTTTTCTTCATTTGATGTTTTACCTTGTGTGTGCGTGGGGGGGGGTCCATCTTGAGGGGTAAAATAGATCATTTACAATTTACAAACATGCCCATGAATTTTAGTTAACAAACATGCATCACACATTTTTTCTTCATGCACACTACTTTTAGTTTGCAAGCACACATCATGCAATTTTCCGTGTCCATTGCCAAAGGAGCTAAAAGAGTCATTCTCGGCAATGTTTTAGTTTCAGATAAAGAAACGGACTAAAACAAAATGACACATTAAACATCCCTTGCTAATGACTTTCTATGAGGTTTTGGATAGTAAATGCAACAATGCTTTTTAGTGTTTAAAGGAAGTTGCCTCTCTGTTTTTTACCGGGGCTAGGTTGTGCACCCTTTGACCCAGACAGAATCAGGATTAGACTGGATTTGTTTTTGTTTCTATAGTAGTCTTGGGCCTTTGGCATATTAAATAAACTCAAAAATTAAAGAAAGGATATATGCTAAACATTTAAATATAAAGAGAATAAAAGTGAATACTATAAAGAATTAGGCTCAGACATTTGGTGAGGCCTTCTCATGTTAATACAATTCTTACCTGAAGTTTGAGGTGAAAGAGGTGGCTGAGTCAAAGGTAAACTACTGGCACTAGATTGTGCAGGAGCAACTTGTTCGAACTTTGGAGGTAGAAGTGCTGCAGTTGGAGGAACTAATTCACTCCTCCTCATAGATGGTTTGGACAGCCAGGATCTTGAAGGAGGGTGCGATCCTTGTTGATAAGGTGCCAACGGGGCAGATTGAGTACGTGGGGCTGGAGCAGGGCCTACACCTGATTTAATATGAGTATCTTTCCACCGTAGTTGTTTAAGAAATATGTAACGATTGGCACGTAGAGGTAAATCAGGCACCGCCAAAGTTGCACTGGACATGGCTTGAGCATCTGCTTGCTTAATCGGGAGATTAGTAACCAACAAGACATGAAACAGCACAAGCAACTGATTCAGCACTAACCAATTGGCTTTCCTTAACACACCTGAAGTCAATTGCAAAAGAAGTCAAGTACATGAAACTCTTGCAGCTTCACTCATTTCATGATAGTAAGTACTCTCTCAGTCCCAAAAAGGAGAGTAAAGTTTTATAAGCTTTTTGTCCAAAAAAGTCATATTTCAACAAAAGAAACTATATGCTATGTAGTTTTTACTTTTTTATGTGTCTAAGCGTGTAAATCATTCATCTTATCCACTGAAGTAAAACTTATAAGATTTTAGCAAGGATCATCCTTTTGTCTGTTTTCTTTTGTCAGTACAACGAGGGAGTTAGCATAAGTTTCTGCGAACATGCTACTGCAATGTGAGGTAAAAGACAAGTTTTAAAAAGGAACATATGAACCATAAACTCGAAGTCCTTACCCTTGTCTAAAATGCAAATGTTATTTCACCTTTTGCTTTGCAAATGCCCAAGCCCGGGAGTGACAACATTCAACATACTTGGATTTCTATACCCCTACTCACGCCCTCCCCCACAAAATGAAGTCAAATTATGACAATTAATTTGTGTCCCACATCACGATAATCGGACATCCATCTAGGCAAGGGAGGTAAAAAGACCTCCTCTGGGGTAATCAATGTGCCATCATTTCGCGTATTGGGGGAGAGGAAATCTGAGCCCTAAGGGTGTCGCAGATTCTTGTTCATATGAAGCAATCCTATCCCAGACCGTTCATCTTCACCCCAAAGTGCTAACAATGCATCAAATTTGATTTGGAGCTGTGATCTTGATGACCACCTTGGCTCCCCTGAATCACAAGGGAGGTAAAAAGAACCCCTATGGGGTAATTAACATACCAACATCGCGTAGTGGAAAGAAGGAAATCTGAGCCCTAAGGGTGTCACGGGTTATTGTTCATATTGCTCGTTGATTACCCCAGAGGAGTTCTTTTTACCTCCATTTCCTAGTGGCAATGTCCGATTAATTGTGATATGGAACATGCAATTTGGTGTTTAGCATTAGTTATGGGTGTCTCATTTGGCAATCAAACTATTCTCCCTAGCCACAGAAACCCACAACCCTGAACTAAGAAACATCTCCTTCCAGATTTTCCAAAATGATATCAATAGAATTATCATTACAGGAAACTTTATTTCATTCCACTAAAGTTAGTACAGTTTGACCGCAAAAAAAAAATGAAACTGTAAGATTACTTGAAGTACAATCCCAGAGAAACGCTCAACAACCAGCAGGAGCTCCAGAGATAATGATAAAATGAAAAGTTTACTACGGAGTAGTAAAAAAAAGGCACACCGTTTTGAGTGGGAGAAATCAGCAGCAGCAGCTGGATGAAGTGCAACATCACTAGCACCGAAGCGCATCAACCATTCAGATCTGAGAGGTTCTGTAGAATCACAAACTTCTGTCCGCCAAAGGAATCAGGTAGAAGCATGCGTTAGGTAGTGGATGAAGATTGAGATGCAGGGAATTATTACTCCCTCCGGGAATTGTTTCTCTTGACTTGGCATGCTTAATAATTATTGTAAAAAATTACATTTACTCCCCAAATTTGCCCTCCTACTCTATTCCTAATTTCACAGTTTTTCTCCATCTCCCAAGTCCCATCTATCGCAGCTTCAATTTGAACATGACTGCTGGACTAGAAGCTACCTGCTGCAAGTCAAACAGATGAAACAGAGAGCCAATTCGTTGGTGCGAATCTGTGATAATATAATTAAGTTACAAGTAAAATTGTTTCTGCTGATTTCGGAGAAGAGAAATCGGGGCCTTTTGCAAGCGATGATTCTCTAAAAGTTGTCGCCCACAGCCTTCTCTGCTACACCGAACCTTCTCTAATCGTTACAATCGCACGGCCGACGGCGTTCATCGCTATCACTCGCACCTCCGATGGCCTCCAACTCCCAGATTCGCTAGATTTGCCTGTGACCTCTGACGCCCAGAGCTTCGCATCCGGTAGGAACTTAACAATTCTTAAGCTGAGGCGCATGTGAAATCCCGACGATCAGGGAGAGCTGAGGTAGGCAGGCTGGGCAAATTACCCGTGTAATCTGGATTGGGCGGTATTTTAAGACCCGGAACCGGAAGTTCAGTTATCTAGACTAGTACCCCTGCAACAGGTCTAATTATAAACTAAATAATCAGAAAAAGTATTGATGAAAGAAAATGATAAAATTAAATTAACATAGTAATATATAATAACATATTTATATAAAGGAAATAAACAATAATACACAATTTATTCACTAAATGAATGAATTTGGTAAATTTATTTATTTAATTAGATTTGACATGAAGCACTCCCCGTAATATCTTTTACTTTATTGAATAGGTAGCTATACATTTCCCTTAAGCAAGGCACAAAATTTCACTTGAGCAATGCACCAAATTTTTTCTTGAACAATGCACCAAATTTTTCTTGAACAATGCACCAAAAAGTTATAATGGCATGCATTTCAAAAGATTTGAAAATCTACCTTCTTAGTTGTCACGCTTAAATATGTGTTGCAGCAGTAAATACTCCAGCAAAAGAAGATTTGTAGAATCTAGTAAATAAATGTTGATAGGACATAAAAGGCTACTTTTATGGTTGGAAAAGAAGATTTGGTAAATCCTTCAAGTAAAGCTAATTTCAAATAAATGAAAGTACTTTTAGAACTACAAAATATTACCCAACTTCAATAATATGCTCTATCAAATTCTAGGTACCGAACAAAAACCTCACCATCAACCTACTATATGATTTGTTTAACCCACATCACTAAGAAGTAGACATTTTAAAAAGAATCATTAAGAAGAAAAAATTGAAACAGAGTATTAATAAAGACGCTAGAAGAACGCCGCTTGCTAGCTTCCAAAGTAAGAGCTCAGTCCATTTGCAACCTGCATATATCAAAGTAAATAGATTAGATAAAGCAATTTGGCATTGAGGCAAAGAAGATCACGCCGCAAGTTGAGACTTGAGGCCCTTTAGGAATCTAGAGGACGATCAGGCACATTTAAAGCGAATTACCATGAGGAATATTGCTTATTTTTTTTTACATATATACCCACTAATAAAAATCCAATTATTGTGCAAAGAAAACAAAGAAAAACGGAAAAAATATCATCAATAAGTAATCCCAAGTAAGATAACAAAATAATCATAAAGTGAGAAGAAAGCTTCTGAGATCTTACCAGCAATATGAGGTCCCAATTAACATCAAAAGCCTAATATATATTCAAAGATTTGTAACGCATGTAATATATAAAAACATTATATACACACGGAATGCTTGTGATTATGCATAGTTAATTCATCACTCTTTTAATAAAAACCCAACATTTTTATCAATTAAGCTTCAACATTATATCAGTACTTACTCAAAAACAAATAATGTATGGAAAACCATTACAGTTAAGAACCCATAAACTACAACAATCTAGTACCCATTAAAAACTAAATACTAAAACCTCACAAAAAATTTAACTAATATTGTAATTTTTTTACCTTGATTACAGTGGATTATCCTCACAAAAGCCCTGCCATTATTGCCTTTTCCAAGGCCCCATGCCTTCTAGATGGAAAGCCAAAGCTCCACATTAAGGTTTTTTATTTTCAAGCACTGTCTGAAATGACAAAAAGTGCTAATGGTGTAATATATAAACAATTTTGATGGTGCAATAAATATTAGTCTTATTTATTTGGTGGGACGGAACGGGAAGAAGAACTCATAATAAATAAAGGAAAAGATGATATAGAATAAAAATATGTCTAATTTAGAAATAAAAAAATGAATTAACCTTGGAATTCCATTAAAAAAAATTACGACACATGGTTTAACAAATATCAAAAATTAAATGGGGCATTGTATTATACCTGTGATAGGATACCCAACAAAGCATCCATCAACTTATTTCTCATTTTAGTTGTATTATTCTCCAAAATCTGAATGAGCAAGAACATATTATATTAAAATTAAATCCTAACTTCTAGAAGTAACTGACTTCCTAACTATGTGAGAAGCCCACATATTAAAAAAAAAGAATTAAGAAGAAAAATCTATTCGGTCATGGATTTTAACCTTTTTAAGACAATCAATCTTAGTCGTGCGATCTTGTGAAGAGAATTACACTTACTGTTTGGCCATCGGTTTTAACCTTTTTTCGTATCCGTCTCAGTTGCTCCCTGTCATCATCAAGGTCGCCTTCTCCATCGCCAAATCTAGAGTTTTAAATTTTTGAAACTCTAAGTACCAAAAATCTTATTATCGTGCTCGATCTAAATATAAATAATTTGAAAAAGAAAGAAAACATTGGTGTTATCTTGTCGTATGCAGTTGTTGATGGAATTAAATCATCGTCCATGGACGGAGTTAGGCTTTCATCATTCCTCGCTTTCTTGGGCAACACCTGCAAAGAAAGTAGAAAAAGATTTTTAGAAAAATTAAGCTGTGATATCCTTAAAAGCTAAAATATTTTACTTTACTTCTATTGGGAAAGTACTTGCATTTTACATGGTTTGCTCCATAATCATTCTACTCTTGAGCTTTCTCCTAAGAGGTTTGTCCTTGTACATTCATTCAAATTTTTATACTCCAACGTGACAAACATTGTTGAAGATAATTCAACAATGACCCCACACCCACTGCAAAAAGATTGCTCAAATTAACCATTTCAAGAAAAAAAATAGAGAGAGGTAAAATAGCTTGAACATCCTCCATTGCTTGATAGCAGATTCTGGAAAATCTGAAAAATTATACCTAAAATATGGAAATGTTAATCTACCAACAAAAGAAATTGAAAGAAAAGGCTAAGATGAACACTTGCATCGAAAATAAATATCTATATCTTTGTTCCAAATCCTAGAACAGAATCAACAACTTGCCCATATGTTCCCGATCCTTTTTTGCGGGGAGAACTACAGGACCAAAGCTCCTCTTACCATTGTATATAGGAGGATAAAATAAAGATTCTCAAAATGATCATTTCTATACAATTAAATATAAAATAAAAACAATACATAAGAAAAAAACATAATTCATGAATAATTAAAAGCCTATAATTTTTGTAAATGGATTCAAATATACATTGTTTATTTAAAAAATTCATTTCGGGAAAGTATTTCATTAGAATGGATCATTTTAAGAATTTTTTCTAAAATAATGCATGACCCTTAAGTCTGAAGATTTAAATTCAGAATAAGAAGTGAGGAGCCAATAAAAGTAATAAGTTAGGGTGAAAGGCCCAATTGAATCAAGAAAGCACGGAAAAAACTGAGAAAGAATAAAATCATTACCCATGTAAATAATATCCTACCCCTTCTCATTCTCCAGGAAGAAATTCTTAATAATGTCAAACATATGGGGAAGATGGGTGGCACCACCATGGTCCTGCAAGCTAGGGGAAAAGATGAGTTACAAAAAAAGATAGATCTTTGAATAAAATCAGAGAAACTTTTATGCAATACTACGTATAAAAAAGGAAAAAAACTCACTATTGAACCATACCCAGGCTTTTTGTGGCATTTGCTGTATGAAATAGCAGAACCTGACCACTATTGAACCATGCCTGTTAGAGAAATGAAGCAGTGTGAAATGAAATGTGACCTAGACCATCCTTCTCTAAGAGGCAATTTTTCAAACACATATTGAGCATTGGTCAAGTAATCTAGATTGTAAAACAACACCATTTTTGAAGTACAAAATAAGAGTTATGGTTGTGTAAATCTGAAAAATGGAAGATAAAGAAGAAGAAGAAGGCCAGTAGCTGCTAGATTTTAAAAAAATTGAATTTGACAAAAGCAAAAAAGAAATACTCCGGTAAATGGGAAAAAGAAGGAACCCTAGTCCTTGTGGCCTTGAAATCTGAAAAGTGAAAACAATCTCCGCTCCCAAAGTCTCGATCCTCCACAGTTCATCCAATAAAATCCCCCAGAAGCCCATCAAGTCGGTGTGATCATCACCGCCGGATTCTCCTCCGCCGATTTCTTCAGAACCACGAACCGGACGCCGCTGCTGTGCATCCCGTCCCTGCTTGAAAAAAGTTCAACTCTGCCGGAGTCCGTGCATATCCCCGTCGATTATCGAGGTATCCCGGCCGTATTTGAGGTCCTTGTCATCGTTTCCCGCCACGTCTATGTTGAAGAGGACACCGGTCGAAGAGGACAGCAGCCGCCACGTCTATGTTGAAGCAGCGAAGATCTGAAAAGAATCTGGTGTATGCTTTGTAGATAATTTTGGGAGCGTACTGCGTAAGCTTTCCCCGAAGCGTACAGCGGAAGAACCTTGGGGCTGGCATACGGCGTAAGCTTTAGGCCTCATTTTCCACCTCTCCATATGATAGGCCCATTAGGCAGTGACCCGGCCCAATATTTTGGGCGGGAACACTGTTCATAAACTCCTCTTAGCATTGTATATAGGAAGATACTCAGTATATGACGTATATGAGGTTAGGGGTGTAAAACTGTAAACGAACCGAATAGAAGCGAATACCGATATATTTGAATTTGTATTTGTTTAATTTTTTCGAATATGAATCCCAACCCGAATATGAGACAAATTCAAAATACGATTTGAATAAGTATTTGATTAATATTCGAATAGTTATCGAATCATAAACGAATATTTGAATAATCATACTATGTAATTTATATGATGGACCAACATCAATTTGTAATTTAACTTACGATACTCTTTATACTATACTATATTCCGTATATAAAAACATTAATATATCTGTATCTTACACAAATTATATTTTATAAAATATAACTATTAAAAATCATATGCTTTAGATTTTCGTGTTACGTTAATTTATTGAATTCTTAGTATTTTAAATATACTTTATACTATATTACTTTGCTTGACTTTTGATGTTGAAAACATGGTCTATATATATATATATATATATATATATATATATATATATATATATATATATATATATACATACATATATTCGAATATTCGAATATCATCCGAATCGAATATATCTCTATTTGTATTTGTATTTGATTAATATTCGAATCAAAAATAATATTTGAATTTGAATTTGTATTTGAATAACGCGAATTCGAATCATCATATTCGAATACAAATCGCGAATCGAATTTAAAATATTTCATTTGTTTACATCCCTATATGAGGTATATCACTCAATCCAATATTTGAAAATTATACTCGGAAATAATTTTTTAATTTCTCTTTTTTCTCGTCCAAAAATAATTTTTTTAATTCTAATTTTAACTCCAATCCTTCTAATTTCCTCCTATTCTTCTTTTCTTTCTTTTTCTTTCCTCCTCCACTTCATCTTTTTTTTCACTACCCAATCTCCATCTCCTCCAGTTTCTTGCTTCCTTCCATCCATTTTCGTCCTCCTCCTTTCTCAACCCTTCTCTTCTCAAGTCTCTCCTTTGATTCTTGCTTCTCTTCCTTCCCTTCTCCTCTCTCTCCCCTTCGTCTTTCTTCCCTCCTCATTTCTTCTTCGTCTTTCTTCCAGATATGGGCTATGGCGGCAATTGTGGCGGCTAACGTGATGGTGAGTGTAGTTCTATACTATTTCTCATTGCTTTTTATAGATCTACACCACCACCCCTTTCTTCTTGTTATTTAATTTAGATCTGTGCCATGGTAGCTGGGTTGGTGGTACAGGAGACAGTGTTGGGGTTGACCATGATGGTGGGGATGCCAACGGTGGCGGGGCTGGCGGCGATAAAAAGACTGATGGTGGCAAGGGTTGGGCTAGCGGTGGTGGTCAACTTGACGGTGGGGGCTGGCAAAGGTCTAAACTCAGAACCTGGGATGGCCAGCTTCCTTGTTCATTCACTAGCCTTTTAAGGGAATTTTAGCCATTCCAACTAATAAGTCAACCATTCAAAAAATGAGAAAAAATCCAAATGGGAAGAATTTTTTTGGACGGAGAGAGTAAGTTTTTTTGTTTGTGTGTTACTGTGTTTTGGACCTTTCGTATACTATTTGACCAAATTAAATATTTTTATAACTGTTTGTTATGTAAAACTTTTGATGTATGTATATATATTTTTTTTATTTTATATCAATATTTAAATAAAATTAATTGGAAAAGTTTGAGATTTTAAAATGTAAATGATTTAGGGAGAGGGGGAGTATATGTTTACGCAATTATGCATGTCAAATCATCAAATGTGTCAACCCTCAAAATTACGAAGTAAATTCTAATTGGTTTGATGTGATTGTAATTATATTTAAAGTAGTTTCTGATTTGATTTGATTCGATTTTAATAAAAAAGTAGTTTCCTCCCTCCAGCCATATTATGACAGTTGCTGGTTAGGGAGGCCAGTATGGACGGTGAAAAAAGTCATGAAATGTGATTTGTAGTAAAATGAGTTCATGTTAGATACTCTATACTGGAGCTTTCTCTGATTACTAGACTGAATTGTTCAGAACTTGCATCTGGATGTGATAAGAAGTATGATTTAAATGCTTTGCGTGTTTTTGTTGAAGAAAACTAACCAAAAGGTGTGGTTTGTTATACTTTTGTAATTTAGATGTTCTCAAAATTGTGTTGGCTACTTAAAGAGAAAAGAAAAGAAAGAGTATGCAAGCGAGTGGATAGTGAGAGTGACGACATTGATGTTTGTTGTCCTTGTTAGGATTGGTCATGCCAAAAAAGATGTGCCAGTCCAAACTGGGTCTAGCTAAAGTTGCCAACTATGGTGAGTCAATGTCTTTTCCCCGTGGTCACGAATGCTCATGGATAACTACATTTAGGGGGTATATTCAATCCAGATTCTCTGGGATTTTTTTGGATTTTAAAAGTCAGTTAGTATTCAATTGAGATTTTATAAAATCATTTAAAATTTCAGAGTATTCAATTTAGATTTTTAAAAGTCCACCAAAATCTAAAAGTATTTAACAATCCATTGATTTGACAAGATTTGTATTATGGGTAGATTTTGATGGATTTAGGAGTCATTTTTCTAAAGAAAAATTCAGTTACAAATCTATTGCTATTTCCAAAGATTTCAACGGACTTGGGGGAGCATAGATCTGAAGGTGATATCTGGCACAAGATTTAGAGCTTTGGTCCGGCGATTTGGTCCCACGTCGATTCCTGTGGAGCTTTGATCCGACGATTTAGTCCGGAGAGTGGTTCATGGCAACAGTGAAGAGAAAGCGAAGCCGGAGACAACGAAAACCTACCGACGACCACGAACAAAACTACTCGATGGAGGAAAGAAGAAGAGAGGCAGCAGCAGTGAATCTGGGTGGAGACGATGGTGGCGGTGGCGGCGTGGGAGCTGAGCCGGCAAACGAAACAAAGAAGAAGAATAAAAAAGAAGAATAAAGGTAGCGGCGGCTAGGTTTGTGGGGGAAGAAGGAAAAAGAAAAGAAGAGGGAAAGAAGAGGGAAATGGAAAAGGGAAGCAGGGTCGTGGGGGAAGAAGGGAAAAAGAAAGAAAAGAGAAAAAAGGGAAAGGAAAAAAAAAGAAAAAAAATCAAAGATAGAAGAAAAGAAAAAGAAAAAATATTATGTATCCATAAATCATTGATTACAAATAATCTGTCAAAATCATAAAAAATACTTCTAAAAAATAAATTAAAATATAGCTAACTCCACGTAGACTTAATATAATCCATTGATTTTATAGAATCCATGAATTTAAACAATCTATTAAAATCTGGATTGAATACACCTCTCTTAAGCTTTTAATAACTAGTTGCCTTTATTCTCTCGAATATTAATAACAATTAGACCACATGTGTGTTTCACTTATCATCTTTTTCGATAATTTGTATATTTTGTCACTACAATTAGTCTATTGACTTGATTTATTCCTAATATATAAGTATTAGACACAAGTAGGGATGCAAGCAAATCAAATACTTTTAATTCAGTTCGTGATCTGTATTCGAATATAATGATTCGAATTCACATGATTCAAATTCAAATATTAATTTTGATTCGAATATTAAATAAATACAAATACAAATAAGAATATATTTGATTTGGGTGATATTCGAATATTTGAATGTATGTATACCCACAAACCATGTTTCAACATCAATAGTCAAGTAAACTAATATAGTATAAAATGTATTTAAATTACTAAGCTAGAGTTCAACAAATTAACATATCATGAAAATCTAAAACATTTAAATTTAGTTATATTTTATAAAATATAATTCATGTAAGATAAAAATGTATCAATGTTTGTAGATATAGTATAAGAAATATTGTAAGTTACATTATTCAAGATCTATGTTGGTCTATCATATAAATTATGGAGTATAATTATTAAAATATTCGTTTAGGATTCGTTAAGTATTCGAATATTAATCAAATACAAATTCAAATCTTATTTTTAACTCTTTTCATATTCGGATACGGATTCGTATTTGAAAAAAATTAAATAAATACAAATTTAAATATTTTGATATTCGTTTCGATTTGGTTCATTTAAATCCCTAGATAGAAGTTGGATGAAGGGTGTAACAATTTTTGTATTGTATAAGTTTTTCAAATAATAACACAATTATATGCAGGAGGGTGTATTTAACACGAGATGGATTTACACTATGTTTGGTTCAAGGAATTAGGAAGAAAAAGAAAGAAAATGATTTTCACTCATTTTTCTCACAAAAAATGAGAGGAATTTGATTATCCCCATTAATATATTTTGCCTTATCATTTTTTTTTTCATCCACATTTCTTCTCTTTTCCTCCTAAACCAAACAATAATTTTTTTTTCCCTTCATTTCCCGTGTTAATGTTTTAGCGCGTGGCCAGACTTTCTTCTTCTCCCTCCCCTCCAAACCGGTGCGAGACGAGAAAAACCCTGGAGGTGCTGCAGGTGCAGAGCCAACGCAAAGTTCCAGTGACACACTAACACTCGCCCCGTCACTTCACTGTCGAGTATGGCGGCAACGGGCTATGCTCTTCTCTCCGCTGCAATGGCACTATTCATATGCTTGCCATCAATCACCGCTGCCGATTTAATACAAGGCTGCGGTGGATTTGTTGAGGTGATTGACTACCTACTCATTAGCTAGCAATCGCATTTTATTTCGAGATGTTGTGGTTCGATTAGATCGATGATGTTTAAGTGTAAAGCATCCATTTCTGCACTTGTATTTATTTTCACTTCTGAGACTGCTGCAGGCGAGTCGAGCACTGATCAAATCCAGGAAGGAGTCGGACGGGAAGTTGGACTATTCTCATATATCGGTAGGAATTCCATAATTTCCATTGGTTGCTGCCAAGTTCCTAGAGCAAGATGAAATGTAAAGTTTCTAGATTACATTGCTTAATGCAGGTTGAGCTTAGGACATTGGATGGCTTGGTGAAAGATAGAACACAATGTGCTCCAAATGGTTATTACTTTATACCCGTATATGACAAGGCAGGTCTCAAAATGGTTTATATATTACTTCTATGAAGTTTTGTTTCCATGAGAATCTCATATTTGAGTAATGACTCCACTATTTTGAGCACTGTGTAAGAAATGTGCTCTAACATATTCGTTGACTCAAATACGACATAAGATTTTAGATTGTTACTTAATATCCGAATATCTGAAGCACATTTATCTCATGCTAAACTATGTTAGGGTTCATTTATTCTCAAAGCAAGGGGACCAGAGGGATGGTCGTGGGATCCAGAACAAGTTGAGCATCTTTTAAACTCATTTGATAGTACACTGGACATCTTTTTCCATGCGTTTGGAGGAAGAATTTTTCAGGTAGCAGTTTTTTTCTTCTTCTAGCATTATCTGACATAAGATGTTGATTTTTATAGGTTCGGGTTCTTGTTGATCACACTGGTTGCAATGCCAATGAAGATATTAATTTTCAGTTCACAGGGTTGGTCAATTTTTTTGCAAGTTGTGAAGTTCGGTTATAGTGGTGTTCACATACTTTAATTTAGTTGATTCTCCATGAGTTTATGGACACTATATAGCTTTGTTATTATATACTACAGGATATATGTATCCATGTTTCTATTAGTTACTATTAATGCAGGTTTACTGTATCTGGGAGAATTGTGGGAGGTGTGGGTGGGGATAGTTGTACACAGAAGTATGGAGGTCCACCTAATGTGAAGGTTGAGCTTTTGTCTCCCGGAGATGGTGTTATTTCATCAGTATTAACAACTTCTTCTGGAACATATTCCTTCACTAATGTTATTCCTGGTAATGATACTCTTTTCGTCGTGTTACATTACGAGGATGTGTCAATTTACACTTTACATCAATGCTGCTAATTTTTTTGATGCACTGTATGTGCTGGGAAGCGGGAATTATCATTGTTTCATTCCTGCACCATTTCTGATCGTATCAGATCTGTATTAAGATAGTTCCTTTCTGACTGATTGTTATTGGATCTACAGGGAAGTATAAATTGCAAGCATCCCGCCATGATTTGAATATTCAAGTCAGAGGTGCAGCTGAGGTGGTTTCAGGCCTCCCTTTTGGCATCTTATCAGCCTGTCTTGTTTTTATTATGTATTCATGAATCTGGCTGGAGTTATTTACTGTACTATACCAGTTGTGCATCACAATCATTTAGTAGTGAAGGGATGCACAGAATTGATTGATCTGATGAACCATAATATTCATGCAGGTTGATCTGAATTTTGAAAATGCCATGGTGGATGAGTTTTTCTTTGTCCCTGGCTATGATATCCGTGGATCTGTTTTAGCTCAGGTGAACTTGTTTTCTATGATAATTTAGGTCATGATTGTCTCCTTCAGGAAAGTAGACAAGACAAGCTTGTTTGTGAATAATCTCGAGCTTGACTTGTTAATATTGTTTGAGCTGAGCTTGATGACATCAAATGCTCCGTATTCATTTAAGCTTGGCCTGACTTGTATACATCATGCAGCTTATTTGTATAATTTTATTAGAAGATATTATAGAACTTAGTGTTGTAGTCGCTGAACTCAAATTCGCTTGTTTACGTGAGGATAGGAAAATAAAGGTTGTTACTATTTACTCCGTACTAAACTTGGGTGGGCTGGGGCTCAGGTTGATCCCCCCAAGCTACTCCCGTGAATTGGTCTATAGTTCTTTTTTCTCATTGTGGAATGTTTGTATATGACAATATGCATTCCTTTATGCCTTGTTCAGGTGGTAGAAAATGCTGAACTGCTCTTTCATGGCCTGTTTTCTAAAATTTTGCGTTCTGTTGTCTCCATTATGAATGTTTTTGTTTTCACTTTGCAGGGAAATCCCATTTTGGGAGTTCATATTTATTTACATTCAGACGATGTGTCAATGGTTGATTGCCATGATGATCTTGGTAATAGACCTCGTGATCCTGCACAAGGAGCAGCTTTGTGTCATGCTGCAACAGACACTGATGGAACTTTCACATTTAAATCAGTTCCGTGTGGTAATTATTTGTATACTTTTCTTTCCCAATCATAGTGTTGCATTGGAGTAGTCAACACGGTTATAGAGATTATTTGAAACTTGAGTTTCAATGTGTTTACATTATAATGATTTACACAATGAATATCTGCAGGGCTGTACAAGCTTATACCGTTCTACAAAGGTGAAAACACCATTTTTGATGTTTCACCATCTTCTCTGCTAGTTAGTGTAAATCATGACCACACAATAGTCCCCCAAAAATTCCAGGTACACATTTTTCTTTCTTTTTCTGATGTATTCTTTTAACAAGTGATGAGACTATCATCTTTCTTGGGACTTACCCACATAGCACTCCTCTTCTTATCCATGGTTGTCAAGTCGACAAGTCGAGTCGAGTCGGTGACGGGGAGACTAGTGGACTAGGCGACTAGTCGACAAATCATAATTAGTATTGAAATTTTTAACATTATATATATCTACATTAACCCAACAAGAATATATATATATTTATATGTCAAAATACCATAACCAAAGCAAATTTATGTTTAAAGATAGCACATAAAGTCAACAAAGAGTACATAACAAGCAAATATCCTTCAATCTTGAAAAATAACACACCAAGAAAGATAATTAACAAGAGCCTAGAACGCTTAAAATATTAAAATAAGAAATACAAAACCAAAATATCAATTAAATTCAGAAAAAAATTGAAAAATTAAACTGAAAATAAA